ATATATAGGGTATATAACAAACAACTGGTATTGTGTCGACTATCATTCAACAATCTTGCATTCGGTACCATCTAAGCAATTGTTTATTTTTATGCAGAAGTCAAGAAATCTCGTTCAACGTGGACACTTCGTAAAACAAAGGTGCGTGTATTATTATCTTTTTATCAAAATCTCCTTTCCAGGATCCTATAATCTGACACTATTATTGGTAGTTGTATATACACTGTGCTGTGTTACTAATATATTAATTAAATACTGGCTAACAGAGTAACCATAGCGACAATATATGTAATATATTACCCTGGTAACAAACAATTTCATTCTAAACGTTATTTATACATTTGGGAGTTTTGTCATTTGTGTCACTAGATAAAAGATCGTATATTCAAAATGTTAGTGATTTTCCATTTTCTTAATGATATTCTGAATCATGATGGATAATACGTGAATGTGTATTTTTTTTTAAATAAATTGCCCTATTTATTCATAACAGAAAGAAAAAGAGAGAGAAAGAGAAAAGAGCTCATCCCTACAGGATTTATGTCAAGTACTCAACGGTATTAAAGTAAAAGAAATAGAAGATTTCGACTTCTCTAAATACAAGGTTTGTAATCAAACATTGTCGCACTTCTGAGAACGCACGCGCGTGACATTCCTGTGCTTTTCAGGCGTTTCTAAAATCATATTATCTTATTTAAACACATACATCATATGATATGTGGTGATAAATGTCGTTTCTTTTGTTTTTATATCAGAGTAAACACTGGAGTGACTTTTTAAAGGCGGACAAGGCTATCCTGAGGTTAACCGACATGGAGTCAAAGCGGCGCGATACGGTTTGGGAATTATTCAAAAGTGAATGTGTGTATCTGCTCGATCATCTTATGGTCATGAAAAACGTAAGTACAAGTTCTTGTGAGACAGACGCACTTTGTCATCTGGAGCATCCCGTCGCCGATGCTTACATTACCGCGTTCACACGTGTAGCAAAAAACGGGGAGTTAAATTTAACCCACTGCTTGTAAAACACGCATGAGCAGAACAACGCGGTCTCGATCCAGGATTGTTTAGCCCATAGTCAGAAGGGCTGGTCTCGACCCCGACCCTGAGTTCTGTGTTTGGCGATCCAAGGGTAGGGCGAATAAAGCGTGAAAGGACGTGAGTGCCGAGTTACCAGTAATTGTAAACCACTACGACGTGTCCAGCACTCGTTTGTAAAAACATATTGAAACTGTTTACATGGTTTGGCCGCTATAGTTGACGAGGCATAGACTGCTTATTTCTCAGGAACTACTTGATAAATTGATCGAAAACGTATATCATCCGTGTTAACAAAGATTTTTCTCAGTTTCGTGGCCATTTTGTATTTTATGAAACACTGGAATACTCCATACTTTTATACTTCACGAAGTCAATTTGAAATGTGTATTGTATCATAATAATGATTGTCATATGGCTAATTTAGTAATTCGCGGACGCAAACGGTAGCAGTTACGTGAAATTTCTCGCCATATCGAATTTACCTGAATAAAAAGAAGACAAAAACGCTCCATAACCACTACTTACATTGATGCAGCATATGATCACTGTGGCACGTGCGCACACCTAGAATGAGTGCACAGTACACTATGTATTATAATAACAAGGTGAATCTCACACAACAAATTACTTATCTCGGCTAATTAAACGGTACATGCTACATTTAGTATGACCTTTGCTTATACTGACCCCCTTCGTAATTTAATTTAGTAGTAAGGCTAACGTGACCAGGTGTTACCCCCGACTGATGGTTTACGTCTATAACCACTTTTTTTTTACTTTGTAATGCAATCTTTTGTTTGCTTGTGGTACCCGATAGCACGGTTAAATACGATGCCATTGGCAATATTGTTAATATGACGAGGTGTTACCCTGACTGATGGTTTTATAGTCATTTATACTTATATATGTAATATTTAATATGCTGGGCTATCCGGTACAATTACATACGGCGCCATTGACGAGTTGACAATTGAATATTAGTATTATAGCTAATATGGCGGGGTGTTACCCCGACTGATAGTTTTACAGTCACGTATACTTAATATATTTGCTATCGAATGTAATATTTAATACACTTGTACTACCCGGTGCAAATGTATTCAGCACAATTGACGAGATTGGCAATTGAATATTTGAATTACAGCTAATATGGCGAAGTATTACCCTGACTGATGGTTTTACATTTATGTATACTTATTTGCTTTTCAATGTAATATTTAATATGCTGTTTAACCCGGTACAGTTACATACGGCGCCATTGACCAAATATTAATAATTGAATATTAGTATCGTAGCTAATATGGCGAGTGTGTTTACGGTTATTCATACGTCTTGCTTTTCAACGCAATGTTTTGCTTACGCTAACTGGTGCAATCCTGTACGATGCTATTGACTATATTGATAATGCGATTACCGGTCCTCGCTTGAAAACCGAGGCCAGTGGACTGGGGGATTTCGTGAGAGAGAAAAAACTACCACGGGCGAAGACAAAACAAAAAACAATATAAAAAATGGAGATATGTGAATACAAATTGTCACCAGGAATGTGATGAATTTTGGAAAAATGTAGATTTTTCTCAGTCCTCCTTCAAATCCCCAAAACGTACGATAGTCCTCTTTCCCGCGTAAATATGTGAAGGTATACTGTGAAACATGTCTTTTTCGCGGGCATGTCTTTTTCGCGGGCATGTCTTTTTCGCGAATTCAAGATGTCGCTAATGATTTTATTATCAATTATATCAAAATGGTAGCCAAACAAAGAAATCAACAATGACAAGGGAGATTCGCTAAATCAAGATTTCGCTATTACGTCATTTTACCACAATTCGCTAAAATTGCATGCCGCTTTTTCAACATGTTTTACAGTAGTCTGCACTAACGTTTGTTGTATTATTTAGGTGTTCTTGGAGCCCTTAAAAGACACACAATGTGAAGGTCACCTAATGTTTATAGAACCATCAAAACTGTTCGGTAATTTAGACGAACTTTGTCAGGTAAGTTAAAATCTTCCGTTTTCACTTTAAAAATGTCGATAGTTGCTGGAAATATTTGTCTATTACATATCTACTACACATATGTGCATGTAAACATTGTACCTACTATCTGTTTCAGGTCAGTCTTTCTTTCTGTAAAATACTTGAACATGGGCTATCACGTGCTTCTAGAGATTCTGAGTTTGGAAAGACGGAAGCCATTGTGTCTGTCTTTTACACGGTAAGTATATCTATATTACTTGAAAGACGTGTGTACCATATATGGGCGTATGTTTTACGTCATATGTGCAGTACCAGTTTGCAACACTGTGGCTATTCCATTCATGTAACATAATATGCTAAACTTTATTACTTTATTACCTGTGTACCATATATGGGCGTATGTCTTACGTCATATGTGCAGTACCAGTTTGCGCAACACTGGCTATTCCATTTATGTAGCATAATGTGTTAGCTTTATTACTTGAAAGACGTGTGCACCATATATGGGCATATGTCTTACGTCGTATGTGCAGTACCAGTTTGCGCAACACTGTGGCTACTCCATTTATGTAGCATAGCATACCAAACTACATGGACATTGGCTTACGTCATGTACTCAAGTGCGCAGTTCCTGAATGCGCAGAGCGTTGGCCACAGCCATATACACCGTGACATTGTCTTTACCTGCAAGTAAATCGTTAATACTGTTAATCTTATGCTGTCACGGTGGATTCAATATAAGTTATGTTTGTAATCCCCTAGTTCCGTACTCGTGTGTGCCCGGCATATCAGCGCTATTGCCTCAATTACTCCAATGCCTTGTCGTATATGGAGCGGCTCAGGAAACAGACCGACTTCTTGGAATTTGTCAAGGTAAGGAATCACAAGAAAGTTTCTATCAAACGTTCTAATTCCAGTTGTATCGGCACTAGCTCTCTGTAATTTTGATAGTGTCGTTATTATTTCTTGGTACGGCTATTATACTGTACAATATGTGTTTGTAGCGAGCATGTTATTTTTGTCAATAATTCATTCCATTAGCGAATTTAATTTTATAATCTCACTATGGATTTGACACTAGCTAAATTAAGATTCTGTCAATCCAGGCATTGAGCCAAATTCGCTAAAATGACATGTCTATGTCAATGTGTTTTTCAGTAATATGGGAGTTGTGCAGGTGGTGTTTAGTTTCAGCATTAATCTTGTTGAGCTTTCATGTTTTTAAAATACGTCTTATTTAATTTTTAGTGGTGTGAACAAGATGTGCGATGCAAAAGACTCCAATTATCTGACCTCTTGGTGGCGCCAATACAGCATATAACAAAGTATCCTCTATTGTTAAAGAATATCCGCAAGAAAACGCAAGATCAGACTGAGCGTGGATCACTGTCTGCGACTATACAATCGGTGGAAAGTTGCCTTCGTACGTATTGTTAAAAACATAATAGTCGTCATGCAACCCATGTCGAATACGATGCGTTGCAAGGAAATATATCGTGGCGTCTATTTTGACGTTTTAAACTCCAACTTTCAATGCAGCGTGTTGTTGTAGTATTGTGTAGTTTAAAATGTGTTCAGTGATCGACGTCATGTGTAAGCTGTTTAGTTACATCCGAGCCCAATCTGATTAAAATTAAATTACAGATTCTTTGTCTACCAATCCAGCAAATATGAATTTAATTTATAATTCGTTTTATTGCTATAATTTATTATTTGTTTGATGATAGTTTTTCAAGTTTTAATAATGATCGCGGAAGCCACAAATCCCGGTAATAATACACAAATAAAATGTACGTAATACGAAATAAAGAATCGATCGTTTTTACCAATTTCTTATTTCCAGGTGAAATGGAAGGAAAGGTCAAATGGCTAACAAATTTTGAAAGACTTCGTGAATTACAACAACTTATTGCATGGCCATCAGTGGATGAAATGGATTCCAAAAGTTTTATTCCTGAAGTGGGTACTTAGTTATGAGATCTTTATTAATAACTGGCGTAGATCAATATTAATGTTGTTTTCATAAATTGATAATAAATATTATTGTTGAATATATAACGAATGTTATCAAATTGGCACAAAGTCGTGAATTTCAATAAAATACGTTTATAATTTTTTTCCAGTTTTTGAGAAGCCGATTAAATAAACAATCGTGCAATACTATCCTGACTAGTCCAAAGAGAACACTCCTACACGAAGGACCAATGTTACTTAGTGGTGAGTATGTTGGATACATTACACACACTACTTCTACAATTGCCAGCGTACCAGTTCTTTGCTTGGTTAACTACAATATACAATGTACAAATATCTCGACCGCTGTTCTCTCTTGCGTTACTCGGGTCATGACCGAATTGAAAAAAAAACAACAACGAAAGATAGCCTGTATCTGAATTATTACCAAATTTCACAGACGTTGCGTCATGAAGATATTTATTCTTCGTGCTTATTTTATGACGATGCTCGTTTTGTTTGGTTGATTATTTTATTTTGTTTTTGTTTATAGATTCAGGTTACTCGCGTGGTTTATGGTTAATTTATAAAAACAATTTGGAAACTCAAAATGGCGGTTGAAAACCGTCCGACCAAACATAGTGCATCGATTATGATTGGCTGTGCAAAGGAAGCATCATTTTCAGTTATTAGCGAATCACAATCTTTCGTATCAATTTAAATCTATATTTATAAATATTTACCTAAGTTTACGGTTAATCATATCCACGGGTAACCTGAAACGATTGTAGCCATATTTGAAAATAAACTTCTTAAGTTGAATTCACTGTCATATCTTTCAGCTGAAAATGCGAAATCCATGGAGACGTACTTGTTTTTGCTTGACGACGTGCTGCTTGTCACGAAAATGCGAAAGATCTCTAAGAAAAAATCATCGATCACGGGCGAAATGGGTATGATGTCGATGTCGTCCCAATCCCTCCCTCACAAGAAAGATGGCGTCCTTTTCACTGTTTGTAAGCAACCCATATCGGTGGATCGAATGGAAGTAATTGAAGTAGAGCCACAAGACGGTGCGTTGCGTGTAATACATTTTATTCTATGCTAATAGTGTAGTTATATAAAGTTACTATACCCGTCGAGCCCACTCCTCCACACAAGATGGCACTTCTTCAAATCACCTCTGCCACAGCTAAATTTAAATATGGCGGAGTTCGCGGGAACTTTAAAACGTATTTTGAATGAATACAATTCTAACATGGAATTGAAACCAAAGCAGATGGAAGTTATAAAAAGTGTATGGGAAGAGAAAGATTTAATAGTTTCCTCGGCAACTGGGTATGGGCCGCCGTCTTCAATAACCGAACAACACCTGCGTATTGATATGTGGCAAATCATAGCGTGAAAAGTCATGTGTGGCAGAGGTGTTAGCCTGCCTGCGCTAAGAACTCTGGGATGGAGAGTGCGTCGAGCCGTGTCTTCTTCAATACGGGATATGATTCACACGAAACTTCTACGTGCGCTTTAAAGGGTGGTGGAGTCGTCGGGCAGCGCGTGTTCAAATTCATTATAAACAAACAATTTATTTTCTACGCGTTGAGTACGTTGCTATGAGTCTCACATCGAACAGGATGCGGCGCGACGACCACGACCCTTTAACATTTATACTGCACAAGCGTCTATAGTGATGATTGGATGTACAACTGGATAATGTGAAACCGACAGACGTTTGGTTTAATCATGTGAAGTGCGCGATTATTATTAATATTATTTTCGCGAAATATTTTGTTTCGCCCGAAAACAAATAATTATTGGGGCTGTATATGGTCAATGTCAGCGTAACTAATCAGTATTTCTGTTGAGTTTAAATTTAATTCACTAAGTTCGGCAAACTTAATATACTCCAGTTAAAGGGGGCGTTTTTTCACACGTTTCTTTGTACAACCATATACAATACTAACGTTTTTAATACCATGTATTTTTGTTTTTTTATTTCACCAGCAAATGGATTAAAACATGCGTTTGTCATACTCCACATCAATCGATATCAACAAGTACAAACAGTTTTGACGTTTCAGGCAGGAAATTCTAACCTTAGGGTAAGTATCTGGCTGAGAATGAGTAAAGATGCACCAAGCGCATCATGATTAATCGCGTCGAGGGATTATAGTGAAATACACTGAGATTTCGTTTATTTTATTTCAGAATAAGTGGCTTACTCATTTAAGGGCTGCCAAATTACGGGTCAATGAACTAGCGCGACACAAAGGATCAGACAATCCAGAAACGCAAGAAAAACGGAGTAGCAAAGGACGGAAGAAAACATTGTAGTCACATAAGACCATTAGGACCCATGATGGACGGCACTTGTTGTGCGAAATCCGAAACTTACTCGGAGGGTATCAGTGTTACAGGACAAATCAATGACATTTACATCAAACTTTCATTTTCTGTGGATAATTGGACGTATTTACCAAAGAAATCGCGATGACGTCAATGGAAGGAATAATGACGTCATTAAACACTCTATTGCCATTTATTCGTAGACATGTATGCAATCGTGGTTGTAAATGTAAATAGTAGTCACATTTATTCACCAATCTCGACAATTTTTGATATCACATTAAGTTAAAGGGAGAGTTGTCAGTCCCGGGGATTGAGCAAAGGAATCATTGTTTACATTGTGTACATTGTTAATCTGTTTCTTGTTTTCTATTTTCATTTTTAATTCAGTAAGTAAAATCGCTGAGCGATTAGACAATCGTCGCGTTCAAAATAGGGGTCTCACGTTACGTGCACGTCGCGTGTAAAATACGTTATTTACCCACACAAAACGCGCTACACGACTGTGGCGTTTTGAAGACGCGATTTGACGGCCGGGCATACAATATTTACGCCATTCATCACTACCATCGCATGACCAATCTAATCATTTTGACCAAAGCGGTCTTGAGTACAACCATCGGCAGTGTAAGATTTATATGGTACAGCCATTTTTTTCCCCAGTGTGTATATTGTCTACTCATGTATTAGTGTGCGATCACCAGTAGGTTATTTCTATATTGTAGTATGTAGTATGTTTTTTTGAGAAGTTAGTGTAACGTTTGAGTCAAGCACTGAAGTCGATTTCACGGCAACAGATAGCTTCCTTTATGTTTCGTGTTCCCCTGCAGTGATAGATGCCTCCAGTTTAATCCGACATCGTAAGTATTGGGAACGAGGTCAAAACAAATGAATAGCTTGGGACGAATTGACTTATGGCTCGCTGTGATTCGCTAGCCTGGCGAGATCCCTTAGTTGCGCCCTCCGCGGTGCTCCAAACCCAACGCAGACCCAAAGTTGGGTCTGATACCGTACATGTCAGGCTATGTGATTTACATGCATGTGTCGAAAACAGAACCGCGTTGATTCATTGAGTTGAAGATGACATCACAATCATCATTATTTAATTGGGCATTTTTCGCTTATTTTAATTAAAAACAAAATGCTTGACCGAACTAGTTTTATGTCGTTGGCGTTGTACTGATAATATTAATGAGTTACGTGTAATGTCAGGTAAGACTGACAATAATTTAAATGTTTTTGTTATTTCATCTTTTAAAATTTAAAGATAAGATGTTGCATTTCTTGAAGACGGCCTTAAATGTCGTAACAATTTGTACTCTTTATCTTATTTATTCAGAAGTAAAATTCACATTCAATCATTTAAAAGAAACCGGCTGTTATTTGGTGGACGTTGTCTTGATCTCGTGAATCTCAGTCCATTTATTAGTGGTCTGAACTTGAATATGAGAGTTTGTCTGATTGGTGGATGTTGTTATGGTCACGTGAATATGGGAGTTTGTCTGATTGGTGGATGTTGTTATGGTCACGTGAATATGGGAGTTTGTCTGATTGGTGGATGTTGTTATGATCAAGTGAAGATGGGAGTTTTCACGATTGAAAAGTGTTGTCACGACCACCTGTGGGTCTCTGACGTTTACTAGAACCTCGACCCCAACCAGGCCGTTAACTACCGTTAGCGTCCATGTAGCATTACTTCAACCAAAGACATTATTGTCTTTGCTTCAACTATCCGATAACGTGCCATGTCCCCTTCGCATGCATTGTACTTAATAGTAGGTAGTGTACACACAGTCTTTATCACACAACCGAATTTAAAGCGGGAGGGTCGTCACCTGCGCACGCGCGGGAATTGAGTTCCAAGCGACGATAATATCACACGCTAAAAACGCAAAGGCTCATGGGTAAACGCTTGTTGTAAACAATGACACGGCTATGGCCATCTGACGCATGCGCGGGTGACGACTCCCCCCGCTTTATTTACACGTCGTTAATGTGCATGAATTGTACAGTAGTAGAAGAATTGATTTTGATTGTTTTTATTGACACCATAACATTGACATTTACCAAAAATACGAGTTCCTTTTCATCTTGATTCATTTTCTTGAATGATCCCTTGCATACTTTAGTAAACGCAGCCAAAGCCCCCGTTACGGATACTGGGAATGCGTTTCACCGTGAGTAACGACACTGTTCTCCCTCAGTGGGTTAATGACAATCAGGCTGTCTTCACATGCTGTTTACGGTACTGCAGACGAAGACGTAAATGGACATTAACAACATGCTGAGAAAACGGCGTAACTTTAGAATCCACTTATAGATTGGACGCAACGTCACGGTGTCGATAAATCACGCTTGTTTTTGTCTACACTCAGGTGAATTGAACAAATACAACGACAGTGTTTTTGTTTGTTGACATTATCTAGACTCAATATATTTACGTCCACTTTGTGCATCCATCCATACCACATATAATTGGTATACGGTTACCAAAGTAGTCACATTCAAACACATTCCATTTAAGGCCACACTGATTTAATTTTAAGGATGACATCCTCTGAAGACCCCAAAACTAAAGCGAGAGGGCGAAAAAAAAAATCCTGCTAAAACAACAGGACTACGGAGCTGTTATTACGAATTGAACCGCAGGGTATCAAAAAACAACAAGTCTTATTTGTAGGAGGCACATGTTGATGTACACATCTCGTACTGTATTACTGTCACAGGTATCATGATCACATTTGATTTTGAAATGGCAAGAGGATAAGGCAGATGTTAGCTTTGCCAAAGGCATGCACATCGACTCAATAATAAAGAAAAACTTACTGTGTTGTATTGAAAAAAAAAAGAACAATAAGTTTGTCAACAGCAACCTGGAAATT